GCCGAGTTTGTTGTTGTGAAATTAAAAAAGCTGGTTGAACAATTTCGCATTGCACTTTCGTTGGGTAAGAACACTCTGGGAGTAGTTGAAAGCTTTGTCTACCTTGGGAGTTGCATGACGGTTGGCGGAAGTATGGATGAGATCTCTCAACGCGTGATTAAAGCTAGATTAGCGTTTAGTAGTCTGCGGCATATCCATTTCACTGAAAGGGCGTGTGTACTGCGCAACGGTACGCACCGTGTTGCTCTATGGCTGCGAGAACTGGCCTCTCCGAGCATATCACGTCCAGCGTCTATCAGTCTTCGACACCCGTTGTCCGCGCAACATCACCCGCGTATGGTTGGGAGCATCGCGTGAATAACGATGGGTGCTACGACCAGATAGTCTTTCTTTGAGCCAAATAATTTCACTGCATCGTCTTAGGTGGCTAGGGCACGTCCTGGGAATGCATGAACAACGTCTGCCGCACGGTGCACTATTCGCAGACATCGTTCCCCGGGGCTGGTAGAAACAGCTAGGTGGGCAGACTGGGACGTGGCACAGAGGGTTAAAGAGATTGTGTTCGAATGTGACCTCCGTTGGGGTTTCTCGGCTGAGGCCCCAACGATTCAGACTGTCTTTGGCTGGAGTAACTGCGGTAAATGACATCGAACCGAAGTCATTGGCGCGAATGCATCCTCTCCTGTTTGCAATCCCAAATATAAACAGAAAACGAAAAAAACTCAAAATGGCGTGCAGTAAACAAACAAACAAAAAATGTTATCCCCCGAAGTTGACTGCTTTATTTTCCCCGCTTCTGTACCTATATTTCTCGCTCACCCATGGTTATTTGGCACCGTATCTGTAAAGATTGGTGTTTATAAATATATATATATATATATATATATATATATGTCGCAAAATTGTCTGCTTTTAAGTAGTAGTAATCTTGTTTATTCATGAAATCCATTTTGCGCATCGTTGTTACGGCGGACAAGAAACCTCAACATACCAAAAAATGTGTTCCAATGACAAGCTGGAATTTCCAACCGGACCAGAAGAGAATGGAAAAGAAAACGAATGTTTTCATAAAATATAGGTCAGCATTCTCACCTTTAACATCTAAATATCCTCCTCTTTTTCTATTGAACGGTGGTGGTGGTGGTGGTGATGGTTCTTTGCTTGGTCAGTTGGCCCACTTTTCAAAACAATCTTCCTGAAGCTAGGTGTTCACAATAGATGAGAAAGAGAATCAAAAAGGGTTTGAATGACAACTCAACTCGTATTTTGAGAGGCTAACACGGCTCACACACACCCTAAATACACACGCGCATTCAGATTTGTTTTTAGAATGAAAGATGCGTAACATAGCTGCGTTGTAAAATGCGTTTCTGTTCGCATTGAATTTTTCTCTCTCTCTCTCTCTCGTATTACCTGCGAACCGTTCACGTATCGTCTGCGCTTGACTCAACACGAGTTTCTGTATCATTTTCTGTCCCAACTATGTCCATACCCATAGATTTGACCGCGAAAAATGAAAATCTTCAGTCTAAACTGACGGCTGCTCGAGAACAAAATCGAGCCATGGATTTGACCATCGATGACTATCGTACCCAGTTAGATCAAGCGAAGGAGCAAATCCAAGCACAAACGGCTCAGGTCAGTATTTATGGCATTTATTCCCTAATCTCATTATCAAATGATAAACTTCTGCGTATCTACATATAGCCTTGGTGTTTTGTGTATCACAATAAGAGTTAGGAATCGTATTGGTTCTAACAGAATACGTATTGCTGCCGCTTATTTCAATCCATGTATGACTACTCATGAGTAGTGTGTTTCAAAATTGAATTAAACTAGCATTTCATCCGTAGTCGATGTTTAACGTTATAATTTCGTGTAGGTCGTCACTGATATTTATTGTTTTTAATAGATGTTGGCGAACCACCAACGGTATTCCACTTTCTATAAACAATATATGTATTGTTCAATACAGAGATCTCACGGTGCTTTTCTTCTTATCCAGATTTCAACAAACCTAACTTGTGTTACCCTCGATCTGGCAGAGAAAGAGGGAATTTGACTCTAGAAATTCACTTACATAGATATGGTTTTATTCTGATTACGGATTCCTAGTGAATTTCGAGATTTCCTCCGGAATCTGACCGTTCCAAACCGATTTTCTACTATCGCATTGTGCATAACCACTACGCTTTTCGTGTTGCATTTTTATCACTTCAATCCAGGTCTGGAGTCGTAATCCTTTCTTTCAGTAATTGCATCCCGATCTTATAGATGTTCCTATCTGCCGTGGAATTAACCAGCACTGCACCATGCACAAGTCCGTTACAATCGACCAAGGAGTAAATAAATAGAATCGCATCGTGTTCACGGGTTGGTATTTGCGATTCGCATTGAACATATTCCTTTTCGACGTTCTCGCGGTGAATATCTCCGATTTCGGCTTACTAGACATCGAAATTCCATTGCAATTCTAGGGCATCGGTGCAAGTTATAAACCTTGATTCGTCCACAAGTGACGACCCTGCCAGGTCAAATATCCGCGACAACAGACTCCCTTAAGGCTGATGAAGCACTCTGACACTCGTAAAAGGCCTAAGAACAGAAATTCTTTTCTTAGCTACGATGAACAAAAAACCAAACCATAAATGCGTTGATCACAACGTTTCGACCCTGTTGGGAGGCCTTTCTCCAGTTGTTTAATCGAATAATCTCACGTTACAAGCAATTAAAAGGCGATGCGGTGACGACATCGCATATAACCCGGATGTGATTCGAACATGCTTGTGTGCGTGCGTGTTGGCGATCGTTTGACGGGTGGTTGGGACGAGTGACATTGATTTGTCCTTTTAGATCCAGATGTGTGAATTGTTCATTCGGCATTGGGAGTGGGGCTGAGACTATTTCGTATGCACCAGTGTCAATTGTTGCCATAACTGTGGAATGACTTCCCCATCGGATCCAGTAATTGCCGTAGGTTCAGCGTTGTTCAGGAGCGTTTCGGCTACCAAACGTTCCTTGTGACTTCTGAATCCACGCTTTAGAATATGCGAGTTTTTGAAATCAACCATATGTCCCTCGCACATTGAGTGATCAGCGATTGCGAAATCGTGTTCCCCTCGAGTCCAACCTCCTGCGAAGGATTGCCACAAAATGAGTGTGGCTCGTGTTTCTCATCCCGATTGACTTGTCCGCATAGATATGCAGTAAAATTAGCTTTAATATTTCATATTTTTGGACCTTGCTCACTCTCATACGATTGTACTCATTCGGCGAATGTATTTGCCCAACGTTGCACACCCACCGGAGGTTAGTTGTCTGTACAACGAGTTTGCTTAAACATCATGTGGAATAAGGTTCTACTACTCATGAGTAGTCTGCTTTGGCCTGGACAGGAGTGAACTCCCTCAGAACGTCCGCCAGTTTTAATGCATCCATGGTCTTCTCGGCATTAATTATCCATGCCGTCTCGCGCAAGTCTTCCCTGTGGGCATTAATTCCAAACGAGCGGCATCAAACAACGTTGGGAGCGCTCGAGTCAACAGGGCACGCAGAGCCACAGGGGGGTCCACGTCAATTCCGAGCTGCGCCGTCCTGAAGCTCCGCAACGCCTGCTGTCGGTCTTCGGGGTGTCAAAACTCGCGGTCAGGGCGTCCTTCGTTGTGACTTCTGTCCGCCAAAACGCGCTCCCCGGCCGGGAATCGAACCCGGGCCTTCCACGTGACAGGCGGAGATACTCACCACTATACTACCGAGGAGACAGCAGGACGTTAAGCCACTGAATCCATCCACCGTTCGTTGATCAATTATTAGTAGTCGTCTTCTTTATGATCACACGACAAAATTCAACTTCGCTATTTCCTAAATCTTGGACCCTCTGTATTCGTACTGCGATTCCTAGTTATGCCGTTATCATTATTTGTGAATAGGCAGTCGGGAGACTCACACTTGACTATGTGGAATGGATCCGCGTGCGTTTGTAATCACTCGTGAAGGAGTCTAATCTGCTATATCGCCTTCAGCGTGCCAGTTTTTGTATATCAACGGTTTTTTCTTGAGGCTGGATCGGGGAGGTCGTGAACTATAATCTGTGCTGTGTGACCGTCCCATGTCGGATACTGAAGCCTCCGGCAGTGGTTTCACCGCAGACTCAAGAAACTGTCATGTTTCTTAGAAAAGCAGTTCTCATCCCTTTATCCACATCGGACACGCAAAGTTGACTCCACGAAAGTTGATTGACGGGGCAGCAACCACACTCCGGTAACTTCTTGACAGACAGGCAGGCCAATCAGGTGAGTTGCAGCGATGGTCGGAATCTAATTGCATCAGTCTTATACGCTACACGTAATTCTGTAAAGAAGTGCATCGTTGAGTAGAGCGCCCCGTGTTGATAGTACATCGGTCGCACCGATTTCCCGTTGTGCCTCGTCAAGCTGTTTCATCTTCTCACCGAAGACAGCCCAAGTACAAGAAAAACGAGCATATTCGCAAACGCGCAAATAACAGCGTAACACAAACATTTCATTTTCGCTAGGTTTGCGAATACACTGTCATTCACGCTGAAACTATATCATGAGACCAACATGAACGGCATAACGGAAGTCTATTTGGCTTAGTACACATGAACTTTGATTGATTTCTTTTTTCAGTTTGTTCAACCAGTCACACGAATGCCCGATAGATTGAGGCAGGTTGTAGCGTTGGAACCGCAATCCGATACCTAATCGTTTCCTTTATGGTAATCTTTTTTTTGATATTCCTGTTGAGTGTTGTGCTTTAACAGTATCACTCGGTATAATCTTTTCTGTCGTCCGCGCCACCTATTGTTTGTATTGCACAAATTCCAGATCGCCAAGTTTACCCAAATCACTCGCCTGATCAACGACCTAACCGGGAATCCGGCCGCGGATGTGACCACTGTGGGTCTAGGCGCAAGCGATACGGGGATCAATACGACCGGGATCAGCACAACTAACGGGCCCACTCCCGCGGCTGTGACCGGCGGCGGAGATTCAGTCAGTCCGGTAGCCGAGACTGCGCCACGTAGCAACGCAGCTGTTACCCGCCGCATGACGACGGCCCGTGCTCCTCGTCGTTGATCTGTTCACATCGATCGGCCTGCTCCCCATTGCAGATTATTCTATGCTTGTACAGTGTTGACCAGATGGTTCTTGTTGTCCCCGACGAATAAAAAAAACCGCATTGGTCACAATCGGCTTGAAACCTTTATCCGTGTGTACTTGTGCATGTACAGTCCGAATCACTAAGTCTCACAAGTCCGGAACTATGCTAATGTACAATGATTCGTTTCATCATCCAATCGAAATTTGGATGTTTAAATGATAATAATTATAATAATGGATAATCCTGTTCCTCCTCGTCTACATTTCATTTTTGTGTCTCTGTACGCATCGACAATGCAAATCAGCTGATTGATTCAACTCGTGAAACCCAGTCCCAAAATTCACCCTTTGGGTGCTTAAAGTGTTTCTTGATATTTGAACAAAAATATCGCGGAATTTGGTGGGCTTCTACAATTTTGCTCCTTACCACGCAATACAATACAATCAAATGTATCGGATTTCCTTTCTCGTGTGATAAACGGTAGACGATATCTCGTTAGATGTAACAGTTTGAAGAACCGGAAACTGTTTCACAGGTGACTTGCTCGCAAAGCAGCCACCGCGAAACATCTATTATCTGCTTTACTGTACCGTGGATGGACTATTCGCTTTTGCGTGGGATTGTTGTTACCACATGTATGATCTCACCTCTCTCTTATTGTCACCTGTTACTCCAGATGTCCGAGTTGGGACTGTTGATTTCGGTAACCAAGGGCAAGTTGTTTGTGTTTAAACTTACTTTGACACACAGCTAAAGTGATTGCGTCACCTATCAGTTGACTCGTTTTTATCCCCCCTTGGTTACCGTCAGTCAGACCGATTGACGAATTGATTAGTTTTGCTCGTCTTCGAGTGAAAAAAATAGCAGTAATTATAAATTCCACAAAATTTATGATACCATAAAAACAAAATACACATTCACCTAATATAGCACAACCCCCGAGAGCAGGAAAGTCAGTACAATTTACACACACACTACTAACAGAGAACAAAAGATCACGAGAGGACAAACTGTGGATTGCCCAAATACATGCACATATTAGGGAAAACACAGCCAATTTAATAATTGATTGCTTGATCAAATCCGTGATTGCCAGGCACGGAATTTACGCCTGCTTCGGCTTGGAGCGTCGCTGATGCGACTTGACCGGTACTGGTTTCGTCGGTTTTTTGGTCGCCTCGGGGAGTAGTGTAGTGGTGCGTTCGTCCGGTGCGGACCAAAGAAGACCAATCAGGAGGGTGAGATGACACACGTGTAACAGACCACTGCTGTACACGGTGGACGGGTACGTGTTCCAGCACAATTCGATCAGGCCGAGAAGGAGCAGACTGTTTGAAAAGGGTTAGATGTGGATGGACAAGATGGAAACGGGTGATGAGTGAATGCCAACTTTTTACAGTATATACATCCCGGACTGAATGAAAGCATTTTGTCTGCACAACGTACACATATGAACCACATTTTTTACATCGAAAACTACTTATCTCGAGATCAGGGGACTTAATGATGGTTAGAAAATCCGCGTGACCAGTCCAATGTAATGCAAAACAGTGGTACTCGTGCGTCTGCTCACTTCCTACATTTGGAATCTTTATCCGAGCACTGCTCTTAGCTATCGAAGTTGGCGCGTGAAACTTCAAGGTTGATGGTTGTGCAAACTGGACTCGATTCGGTTATCTCTTTCTCTTGGGTAGTTAATGGCTGTTCAAAACGAGCTAGGATTGACGTGCCATAAATATCCATGTTTTTGTGGGGATAGCTTCTATAAATCCTTATCTACTGGCCGTAATTAAGATACATAAATCGCACTACAGACAAAAACATCAAGCTCCAACCTGTTGTTTATTCAGGGAATTACACCTGATAGAAAACTTGCACACGCACGGGAAGAAGTACAATAAAACTAGTACGCAACTGAAAGATGGTTTGGTATGCATGTATGCAAACGGGGCTGATGGTGACTTTATTCATCATACTTCTAAAGTGCTTTTGACTAATTCTATGGTGTTATCGACCACGGTCGACTTACATAGACTGTTGTTTGGGGTATGTGCTGCGCATGTCCCCGAATAGATTGCCATGACGTGTGCGCGTGTTTACCGAGGCCGATGTTGAGTGGCCAAACTCAGATTTTGCGTGAAAAACCTAACCAGGAGCCTTGGGCACATAGGTCGCCTTATGCTTTCTGAATCGGGGGACCCTGAGATCATGGTCACCGGTGGCTGGAGAGATATTGAGTGTCGCAAACAGTGGCGCTCGTGCATCTACTCGCTCACTATCCTTGCAACCCCAGTCTGTATAAATTTTCTCTTTGACTCCGCTCACATCATTCCAACCTTTTTTCAAATGGGAAACCAAAACTGGCGCACAAAAATGCATGATTAATGGCTGTACAAACCGAACTGTCGGCCAGGTCTTTCTGACGGAATTAGACACGCGATAAGGATATCAATACCAACAAAATAGAGTTATTATATAATGAAATGGTTAGTAGTATCTAACCCAGCTACGAAACATCCAACCGCCGCATTGATTCTTCAATGGGCTGGCTCTGAACGAACTGTACATCCAATATTACCTGGTTTTGCGAGTGAGGTCATTGTAATGAATATATATATATATATATATATATATATATATATATACTAGTCAGAATACCCTGCAGTGGACTTTTCCGTGAGCCAGAAACATTGCATTAAACTCTCCGAACGGCAGAACAGAGTGGGCAACGACTAAGATTGATGAAAAAATAATTTGTTTACAATGCAGGAAGCTCACATCAAAACCAGCGAAAGCTGGTAGGTATCTATTATGTAAGTAGACAAACATGGTGACTTACCGAAATGGACTGGAAAATCGACCGCACGACCAAAGCAAATAGAGCAAAGTGTGAAAGTACCAGACATAGAACTGATAGTGAAGAGAGCGACTAAATGCGATCCCGATGAAGTTGCACACGAATAAGGGATAGAGGACAGCTGTTGAAAAGCGGGCGGGGAGAGACGGCAAGTAAGATGAGTGCATATACACGAAGAGAAAACAGTAATACGAATAATTAATCAACTAAAATCGCTTTTTTGTTGGGATAGATCTTTTCATCGTTTCTTCAAACAATCAACAGAAACCGGGGGGGGGGGGAGAAAGGGGAATAAAACGTGGTCATCATCATTATCATCGTACCGGGAAATACCAGTCAGGTGAACTTCATTGGTCACTGTCAAACTCGCGACGTATTGTTTAAGATGGACCTCTATGGTCAACAGACAGAGTACATAATCGAACTCTGCATGCGTACCGTTTCAAGCATTCTGACCTAAATGTCGGTTCTCTGACATATCTTTCAATGTTTCCAAACAACCAGTTGCGGAGTCTGTCGGATCCTATCCCTGAAGGCGCGAGACCCCTGCTCTACCTAATGGCTGTCCATTTCTCCCCGCCTCGTCTCCACGTTATCTGTTAATCTCTATGTGGTTTTCTCCAACCCGGAGTGGCTACAGCGATTTAAAACGCGAGGGAACACCGGCTTTTACTACAATACTAGCTTTGCGTTAGTACACTAAAGCTACGGAGAGGAATGACGGTCTAAACCAATACCTGATTTTACTCGGAATGGGGACATTCCTTCTTAACGAAGTTATGGTACAATGAAATACAACAGGACATATCCTATCGATTACAGCCAAGCTCACAATTTCTACAAACGGAATAAGAAACTCCACAAACAGATATCAAGCGGATGAGGGGCTGTTTGAGAGGAGAATTAGCGTGGTCAACACAGTGCCTAGCTAGCACGTGCATCTCCTCGAACAGTGTGATGTGTTAGGAGACAACAACATATCTTCTAGTGTGTCCATTTGACCAACTACAGAAACTTTTGCGGCCGGTTCGAAGACAAGGAATACGTTACGATTTCCGTGCAATTTTTCACCTAATGTCTCCATGCCACTTGATTATTTTCACATTTCTCTACACTTCCGAGGAGTCATTGGAACCGTGTGATCTATAAGCGCGCAGGATTTTTTCATCTGATCTTACGGTGGCACCTCAGAAAAGGTTCATACTGACCGCATAACCGTGTGCGGTCAAACATTGTACGTACAGCAAGTAGGCTAAGGGCAATTGAAATATATCAATCTCCAAATAATCCGAACACGTTTGAATGATCGAGGATCTGACCTTGGGAAGTCCATGCACACTCGCAGACATACGTTACCTGGGATGTTTTCCCCTGTCTAAGTTATGTCAGGAGTGCGCCTGCGAAATTATTTTTGAAACGATAGCTCATCATCCCCGGATAGAGCAAAAAATCCAGATGAACGGAAAGGACGAGAAGCCAATATATCTGATTATGATGTGATTGCTGAGCCAATCGTCTCTCATCTGCGGACATCTGGAAAACACTCATTGTAGAATACTCAAGAAAAAACGTAGATATTGGCCTCATAGTTTTCATCAGCTACCAAATGCAACAGGTGAAATGAACATATCAAGCATCAAACGCCTTATCATTGATAACGAAAGCACAAAAGACTTCGGGTTTTGGGGGATGACGATTTTCAGCCTTTTAAACAGGAAATTTTTATCTGGTATGTCCTTTATTCAGCCCTCACAGATGGGTTTCCAATCGTGAACCCATACCAACATCAATAGTGGTAAAATGTCTTGACCTCACATTATCACACAATTTATCATGGTCGCTGGACGTTCAGGACCAAATTCTCACTCCGATCAGGTTTGTGAATGCATACGTTCTTCCCCGCAGACCTTAGCGCTCATCAGTAATTTTACGCGGTATCTTGAGAAA